GTTCATTTGCGGGTCCCTGCAGAAAAAAAAGATGAATCACAAGTCGAGCTAAAAGAGATGGCACAAACTTCTCGCATTTGGGTTCTATAATCCTTTTCACGGGTTACAAGGCGCAGTAGTGCCATCTGCCTTCACCCTACCCTCCCAATTGTGTGGAGCCTAGGCCTTGGGAAGATTACTCTTCGCATGGAAAGGAAGCCTGTGCAAGAGAATTTACGTGGGAGGATGTTTTTCTATATGTATATATATATATATATGTATACTGTATACACGTATCATATGTATCGTCTGGTCTGGGAGTAATGTCCCGATTTTCAGGCATGCTTCTTTCCGGAAAATCGCCACAAACACCTAAGGAAGAGGAGCGACAACCCGACACTTCCGAGGTGCAGCTATAGCTGGCTAGTTCGTGTCTCGGTGTGTTGAATTGAGCCCTCGACTCATAAAGAGTCGACGCTTTTTGTTGTTTTTGTTTAACGAAAAGTGTTGGCCCTCTTGGGTTGTTAGTTTTTAGAAGAAACAAACAACATGTTGACTGTGTTGTTGTTTGTTTAAAAAATGTTCAGCACCCTCTTACTCACAAAGGTGTTTTTTGAGGTTTGCGATCTCATGGATCCCTTGCTAGGAAGCTATGGTCCACAAACCCCCCTCAATGCCAAAAAACCTTAGCCCCAAGTACCACAAATGGGGCCAAAGGTTCGGGAGGTGTTCAAACTCACACAGGAAACCCCTATGGCGCCCAGCCCCCCCTCGCTAGCAGCAAGCCCCCCCCCGCGCTTCCGATTCATCGCCCTCTTGGCTGTTGGGAGAGTTTTTCCAGGTTCCTGTGTCCAGTTCAAGCCGAAGGGGCCTCTAGGTTAGTTCAGGGTCGTCCAAAAAGTCTCAGTGCTTTTTTTGTTTTTTCAGGGCGGGTCCCAAACCTTGGTCGACCTTGAAAGGAACGGGGGGCGCTTGGGGCCCTTGAACCATTACCCCTCCAACAACCCGGCACACCCATTTTGTCACCCCTGACAAATGGAAACTTGTGTCTTTGGGGTCTTCTTCTTCTTTCCCCCTCCCCCCAATAAATCGCTGCGTCGAACAGACACTCTGCGCTATAGCAAATTAAAGGCAAAAGGAAACGTGTCTCTTCTCCGCGCCTCAAGATCCGCACTCAGCTCGGACCCCAGAATGTGCTGCATGCCCCGCGGGCGCACGCTCTGGCACGCGCAAAAAGGCAACGACCGGCCGCGACGGCATTTCTCTCGTCTTTTGGAAGGTCAAGAGTTGGAACCCGAAAAGTGCTTGGCGGATATCATGAATCCTCGGCTACACTGGGCTGCCCTCAGATCCCCTGCTAAAAGTTGTTTTCTTAAAAAATAGGCCTTTTAGTGGGTTAAATGGAAACTACCACTAAACACTAAAAGCATCTAAAAAGCTAAGGGGATAGCTCCATCAATTAAAAGTTCATACCCAAATGTTCAGGAATCAACCCAAACTGAACCATGCAACTGGCGTCCAATTTCCTTCCGGATCTATCCGATCCCAGTTGATTCCCTCTGAAAACCAGAGCGTTTCTCCGGGCTTCGGAAGATAGCTGGTCTTTCCTCACATTTGCCTGGCAGTTTTTGTTCGTCGATTTTTCACCGGCACTGACAAAGGACCCCAGTTGGATGCGGGAAACGAAGCAGGGAATACGATTTCGCGGGAAGGGTGGCCCGATTTGAAAAAACAACCGCCTGCAACGCCTGGGCGATTTGAACTCATCGGCCCACGCCAGATCTTTCACAAGGCAGCCTTTCCAAGCCAGCCACCTTTGCTGGCTGCCAATGATTTTGGGGTAAGGGCCCTTTGGCTCCCAATTGAATACAGGGATGTGTAATACATGTGTGTGTGTGTCTTTTCCTAGGGGGGCCCAACAAATTGCAGTTTTCCTTTTGGTGTCCCTTCAAAACCACAAAAAGGTACCCACAGAACAAAACAAGCCCCAACCGTTCATCGTGCCTGGCTCCTTTGCTCCCTGAATATCCATGGCCAGGTTCGTCTAAGCAAGTCAGTGAGCTGCTTCGTGACAAGCACGTGTGCATCTGGAAACGCGTTGTGCCAGCCGAGCTGACAAACGTGGCATTCATATGAAATATGAGGCTTGCCCAAAATGACGTGTTTCCCCAAGAGGACACAAGAAAATTCCTCGCCTAAGATTCGAACATGTTCGGACACGTGCATTGGAAACAACTTGCACCATCTGGATGCTTGCATGGTTTCTACACTTGAGTTACAGTAGATTGCAACTCCCCGCGGGCAGTCCATCATTTGGTGTGTATGGTTTCTTCTGGTTGGCATAAAGAGCCAACCAACCGGAAAACCACCAAACTGTGGGGGTCCCTCTATTTTGACACGTACCCAGCTCGTCCATCAGCGAGAAAAACCCCCCGCCTGGAAGGCTTCTAGCAGCTCTTCCTCTGACATGCCCCGCACCAGCTCGCGGTACTCCTCGGTCCCGGGAGCTTGGGGCCCAACCTCCTGGATTGGTTTCGTGGGAACTCCCGAGAATGGGCTTCGAAACGAGCCCAACACATGCACCCTGTTGCCGGTGTGTGTCAACCGTATTTGACTGCCGGTATCTGCCGATATGTACTTGAGCTATCATCAACTGCTGTCAGTCTGCCCAAAACCATATTAAGAATCAAGCCTCACCTCCCATGGCCGCCTGGTGAAGTTTGTTGGGGCACATCACTTCAAATGGGGTTGATCAAACGGTCCTTTACATGGGATGACCATTGGTGGGAAAACCACTTCGTCACCAAAGAGATGATACTTCCCACATGGGAAAGTTACGCAAGGTCAAAACTGGGCGTCCTGTTCCCAGCCACCTCTCCCAAATTCACCTTTTGGTGTGGGCAAAACCACCGCTTGGTTTCCCCCCCCAAAAAAAAAATAAGCGTTTCTGGAACCTTCTTGGGGTTCCGCCTGTCTGAACATGCTCCGTCCACACTTCAGCTCCGAAGCTGAGAAGCAGGCCTCGTCTGACAAGGGAACATCAGCCCTGGCAGAGCAGAAAGCTGGAGTCAACAGCCCAACCCAACAACAGCCCAACACAGGCCCACAGCCCACCCAGAACCCTAAGCTCTAAACCCTAAACCCCACATATGCCGCATCAGTGTTCCTGTTCCCATCTGCACAAACGCAATCTGCAAAATGGCTCGTGCGCCGAGCTCTGAGCATAGGTGTCCCCTTGGCAAGATAGGCGGCCCTGGTAAACAAATCAGTGCCATCCATGTTTAACCAAAAGGACACCTATGCGAACAGCGAAAAACCTGGGAAATCCGGACGTGAGCCTTGTGTCAGTGGCAAACTCGACGGCAAGCTGCACCATCTCCTCGCGCTAAGATCGCTCAAGCACCAGGCAGAAGCGGAGTCGGTCGCCAAAACTCAGGCGCCACAGACAGATCTTCTGTTGACATCTGGGTGTGGGTGGGTCAAAAACAGGTACACAAAATGGGTTACCCTGCTAAATTGGCAACAAAGACTCAAACCAGCGGTCCATATCCTGGTGCTTAAACTTTGACCCATAGAAGCTTCATGGGCATCTTGCGCATATCACGTTGGGGATTCCAGGTTTCAGGGCGCTTTTCTGGGCGTTGCCCCCCAAAGCAAATTCACAGCCATGAGTGGCAATACCTTGGTTATGTTGGAAGGAAAGCAACAATTCAAATGTTAGCAGTTAAGTGGGGATTTCCCACTAAACCACAACAAGCAAACATGTAAAATGTGTCCCAACAACAAACATGATACCCCCCTACACAAAAAACCTCCAGAACCTCCACTCAGTCAGCGAGTCCTTCACATTGGACGCTCGCAAAGGCACCTCAGTGGCAACTTGTGTGGTCGACTTCTGCGACACCCGTGCTTCCGCGTATTTTCCATGGGTCAGCCAAGGTGAAATTCAACCAAACACCCGGAGAAAAGGAGACACTCATTGCATGGCGTCTCGCTTCGGAGGCTTGCAGAATATTGTCCAGAGGTTTTTGAGGCTTTGGGCCTGCAAAATAGAGCGCACGGGGGGGGGGGACTCTCGCTGGCTTGTCATGCATGGGGGGGTGTCTGCTGTTGGGGCTGTTTCGAGGGAGAACCAAAAGGAAACCAGTCCGGAGAGCCGACAAGCTGACAGCTTCTTCGTGTCTCCAATAACAGAAGCCTACAGCACGAGAGTCTTTTGACGCCGTGAGTTTTTGTCTGAACCTATCACACCCTTTGACTATTTCACAACCCCGCTGCGCAGGTGGAATGCTGAGGCGGACACACTGCTGGTGTGGCCTTGCTGGCGAGTTTGGGCACCACAAGTCGGATAAAATAAGGATGCATGATGTTGGGCATGGACAAGCCGCCATCCCTCCTAGAATTGCAGCGGGCAAAGAACATCCTGTGGTACAGCGTGTTGCAACCAGACCACAACATGCGCTTGCTAGGCACGCAAAGAATTGACAGTTGGCAGAGTGCTCAAGGTTTAAAACCACAACCCCAAGCGCTTGAGGGAGTCTCTCTCTTCGAGCGGGATCGATTAGGTTGTATGAGGTTGTTGATCTTTGGGGTCTGGAACGGTATCCTTTAAAAGCTGACATGCGCGGCACCTTGGGCGGGGTCCAAAACCCAATCTAGAAGTCCCCAATTGCACAGGGGTGCTCTTTTTGGGCGGCTCCAGTCTTTTTTGAGTGGTGCCCCTTGTTTTGAAGCGGCTTCAAAGGGAAACCAACAGGAGAACCGAAGCCATTTTGGTTCTCCGAATCCCCACGAATGACCGACCCTTCCCTCGCTCGGTCCAGTTTCCCACCCCCTCTCTTTGGGCACGCTGCCGGAGGCATCCTGACAGAGACGGTTCTTTTTCTCCGTCCTTCGAGTCCTTGAAGAAGAAATTTTATATCTCCCAAGACCCACTTGCTTTGTCACCAAAACACAAAACATACCATCAACCATTCGTAATCTCTTTCTTCCCCTCTGGGTTCATCTACGTGTTCTTCATGACTGGAATTGTCGCAGGCTTCCTGCAAGAATACATCCAACAAGTCGGGGTCCTCGAAAAAGCCGCTGGTATTTGGGTGCTTGAACTGGCTGGTGTCCTTTCAGGGACGGGAACGAAAAGTTGGAAGCCCACGACTTTTGGGAGATACTGCCCGCAATTTCGGGGTTAGCTTTATGGGGCAAACCCGTGGTATGGAAGCAAGAAACTGACTGTCTTTTGCCAACAGTGAAGCTTTTCTTGGGCCAGCCCCTGTTTTTGGAGGGAAGTCCTTAATTCTTCAGGGATCCCGCGCACCCCCCCCACAACAAAATAAGCTCTGGTGATATCCCCAACAGCATGCCGCACCCCGCAGCCCTCGCAGAACCTCGTGGAACCTTGGTGGAACCCTGGTGGAACCCTCGTGGAACCTTACCTCAGGGCCGCCCCGGACCACCCCGGAGCCTATCTGGGCTGAGACCCCGAAGCTTTCAGCTGTTGGGGAAAAAACACTCTCTGCCCATTGGCCCAAAGGTGATGCTCAAAACAACCAACCACTTGGCCCGCATCTGGTACACAGAAAGGTAACATGTTCTGACCCTCCCTATGGGTGTGGCTCAAAACTAGAGCGCCAGAGGACCGCAGGTCTGAGTCGATTTTTCCATTGACCAGGACCCGTTTTGGGCCCCGCTTTTTGAGCCACACCCTTATGTAGTCTACCCTAAAACAAATTACACCAGCATAGGCCCCAGATAGCACACTGCGGCTACGAACCCTGACGCAGCATCATAATGGTTCCGGCGGCATCATGCTGATGTTGGCAACATCTTGATGATGTTGACAGCATCATGAGGATACCACAGCTACTCAGCATAGTGCGCTAGATAGACGCGCAGACAACGTCCTAGTGAGTTCAGCGTTGACAGAATGATGCTGATACACCAGCCACGAACGATTCCACGCTACATATCTAGCAGAAAAAAAGTCCTGATGCGTTCGACAGCATCATGATGATGCGGACAGCATCATGGTGATGGTAAAGGCAGCATCATGATGATACCACAGCCACGAATCATCTTGCGACAGTGTAATGAAATTCAGCATCATCCTGATGTTGACAGCATTCTTCCGCCACCACGCCCACGAACCATGATGCTGCTGCAATTGCTGCGCATGACGTGGAAGACAACATCATGATGACACACCCGCCACGAACCATTACACGCGACAGTTCGAGCAAGCAACAATGTCCGAATCGGTGCGGCCAGCATCATGATGATGCGACAACCACGATACCCCAAACAGCACCCGCCCTAGCACCCTGCTATCCATATGCGCCCGCACCTCAGCCGAACAGCACCCCAAAACTGCACCTGCGCCAGTACCCCAAAGTGCACGCCCCCCAGCTCCCAGCCGTCGATCTTGCAAAACAATTCCCCTTCTTCATTAGAAGTTGGCACCCCTATGGTTTCCAGTTATCTGGGAAATAAGCGCCCACGCGGTCAGCAGCACCTCCAACAGCAACCCAAAACAGCACCTGCACCACCGCCCCAAGCTGCATGCGTCAGCAGCACCTCAAACAGCACCCGAAACAGTACCCCAAAACAGCTGCATCAGCTCCCCAAACTGCATGCGGCCATCAATCTTGCAAAAATGCGCCTGCGCCATCACCAGCACCTCAAACAGAACCCCAAACTGCATGCCCCCGAACACCCGGCCATCAAGCTCGCGAAACCCCAAATTACATGCCCCCTAGCACCCGGCCGTCAATCTCGCAAAGCGGCACCTCCACCAACACCCGAAACTACATGACCCCTAGCACTTGGCCGTCAATCTCGCAAACCAGCACCTCCACCAATGCCCCAAACTGCATGCCCCCTAGCACCCGGCCGTCAATCTCGCAAAGCCGTCAAGCTCGCAAAACAGCACCTCCACCAGCACCCCAAACTGCATGCCTGCCAGCACCCGACCCTTAGAAGTTAGAACCCCTATATCTTTCAGCTATCTGGGGAAAAGCACAATATTTGTTTGAGCAAGCTCGGCATGTGCACCTGCAGCTCCTGCATCAGCTCCAGCTGCTCCGCTGAAGTGAGCTCTGACACCTCGATTGCAACGACGCAGTCACAGGCCGAGGTGGCAGTTCTTCATCTCCATTTCCACGAGATGGGTGGCTTTTCAAGGTTGGAACCCTCAAACTGGGTTCCAACCTGTTTCCTTTGCGCTTCCCTTTAGAACCACCAAAACACGGAGCACCCCAAAAAAGACAGGCCCATACGTCCCTCAGATATCCGACAATTTTGCTTCACGGATCGTATGCCATAGTTTCTACTTCCCTGGAGTACCTTTGGGTGTGGTTGCGTTTGTGTTTTGGAGGATACCCTTTCATGGGTTGGTTTGCAGGGAGACCAGAAGGAGAAACCACACTTTTGGAGGGGCCAAAATCACCCCATTGATACACAGGTTGGTTGATTCATAGGGGGTCAGAATTACGACTCACTTGCTGAAGTCCAGACTTTATATTTACCACTAAAATGGTCTTCCCAATAAGTGAAAAGCTGATGAACTCAGGAAGTGAGACTATGTGCGGTGGGATCAACATCACCTGTTGGGCAAACTTGAGTACCCTCCCGTCCTCCCGACTGAGGGTCCTTGAAGAGGTTTCCGTGTTAGTGGGCCGGAGGGTAGATTCCCCCATTCGAGGGTTGCTTGGTTGACGTTGGAAGGGGAGCAAAAAATAAAATGTTAGCAGTTAAGTGGATTTGGATTTCAACCCTAAACCACAATAGGCAAAAATAAGCAAAATGATTTTCCCAACGACAGCCATGGTTATTTGCTTGAAGCACATGGAAGGAATTTCGGTCAAAGCCCTAGATGGTCTGGGAGTTCGTCAAGCCCTAGATGGTCTGAGAGGTTGGAGGGGTCGCAATAAGGAGCCACCGAGCCCTCGCAGAAACGTTGCTGAAAAAAACCTTTGGAGCGTCTTTTTTCTGGGGACCCGCATGGTTTGGCTCCCATGTAGCGTCTACAAGAGCTGGGGTTCAAATCTAAACCACCAAGCAAGGCTTGCCTGATTTGCTGCTGGTCCTTCAAAAGCCACAAAAAGAAGAAACACAAGGCGCCTCGCATTTGGATCTTACGCGCCAGCTAGACGTGTCAAAAACTCCGGCTGGACCCGCCTTGAGGCTTCTCAAGCGAAGCAGCAACTCATCCGGGACTTCGTCCACCATTGCCTATCGCGTCTAAAAATATTTCTCATAAAACTCAAAGACCTACTTCTCTGCATGAAACCCCAAAGCCCCTTTTGGAGGAATCAACACCAACACCAACACAAACACCCAAAAATAAGCAAGCAAGCAGGCAAGCAAACAAACAAACAAACAAACAAACAAACACACAAACAAACACACAAGCACACCAACAAGGACTTTTGTTTGTCCAATTTCACAGCATATTCTCGAAGTCATTGTGCCAAAATAAACCATTGCAGCTTCTCCTTCAACATACAAGAGTAGTGTCTGAGTCATCCTCGTAATCACACCATGCAAACCTGTCTCCCGCCATCCACGAAACAGTACAAGACGAAGCAAGGCAAATAGTTCGCACACCAGGGTACAAAGATGCAGAAACAGCTCAAATCTGTCCGCACCACATACTCCGATAATCCATTGTCAAATAAATTGGGAATGACAACCGAAAGAGCGGCAAATTCCTTCTTCGTCAGGTGTAGGTGATGTTCGAGGCACAATGTACCACACACAGACACACACAGACACAGACACAGACACAGACACAGACACAGACACAGACACAGACACAGACACAGACACAGACACAGACACAGACACAGACACAGACACAGACACAGACACAGACACAGACACAGACACAGACACAGACACAGACACAGACACAGACACAGACACAGACACACGACACGGACACACAGACACAGACACAGACACAGACACAGACACAGACACAGACACAGACACAGACACAGACACAGACACGGACACGGACACGGACACGGACACGGACACAAACGCAGACACAGATGAAGACACAAACGCAAACACAAACACGCACACACACACACACACAAACACACACAGACACACACAAACACACACACACACACACACACACACACACACACACACACAAACACTTGCACGCACACACTCACGCACGCACTCACACACGCAGACGCACGCACGCACGCACTGGCACGCACGCACTCGCAAAGACAAACAAGCAAGCAAGCAAGCAAACAAACAAACAAACAAACAAGTAAACAAACACACAAGCAAGCAAGCAAGCAAGCAAGCAAGCAAGCAAGCAAGCAAGCAAGCAACCAACCAAACAAACAACCAAACCAACCAACCAACCAACCAAACAACCAACCAACCAACCAACCAACCAAGCAAACAAACAAACAAACAAGCAAACAAACAAACAAACAAACAAGCAAACAAACACACAATATATATATATATATGTGTACACATGTGCTCATTTACAGACATACGCCTCGGACACCAATTGCTTCTTCTGCCAGGATTCAAGCAAGATGTCAACACACCCAACAAGCTGCGGCTCGTATCGCTTTGTACTTCCTCCTCATCATCCTTCTTCTTTCTCATTTTCCTATCCCACGCCTAACAGAATCAGCTTTCCTGGATGCGTGGCCCGCGAAGCTTCTCCAGCCTTGATCTCGGAGGGCAAGGGAGCAGCCTATGTCAGGAGGCAGTGCTTTCCCTGAGTGGTTGCTTTGGTTTCCCTTTAAAACCAACCAAGAATCCAGCCCCATGCAGTGGGAGGGGGAGGGTTGGGTTGTCCTACGGCCTCGTGGACTTCAAGAAAGAAAAGGGTTGTCAGGTGCCCTCTCTGCCCAAGGTGCCGCAAAACACGTTGTGACCGAAAACCGGGCGGACTAGACGGCAAGTGAATGGCCATGGGTCAAAATCCAAAATTCCGTACCCCCAGTGAACATCCGATTCAATCCAACCACCAATCCCAACCAAAATGGGATCCAAAACGATTCTTAACCCCAAGCCAATAGCACGGGACTCTCTCTTCGGATTTCTCTTCACGCACAGCTGAAAGCGCGGAGAACTTGACCCGTGGAAATGAGAGAGACATGCGCTCTGTCCAGCGGTTTCCATGGCCAAAAGGCGAAACGGACGTGGCAACTGGGCTGCTCGTTTTCAGATCCCCCGCTAAAAGTGACGAACTTTTAGTGGGTTGAATGGAAACTAGCACTAAACACTAAAAGTGGCCAAAAAGTTGCCCAAGGGGGATGGCTGGAAGCCACCAAGGCAAGAATCCCATTCGCGAGTGGATCCGCTTTTGCCTTGCAGATAAGACCAGGGCTTCCTGGAGTTCCTCTCACCCAATCAAAAGGAAGATCGTTTTGAATCGGCAACTGCCACCCTTTTCAGTAAGACAAAAGGGAACCCCAAACAGGGAAATTCAGAAATCCAACTACGAGCTGTTCAATCGCAACTGCTTGAATTCTAGGTCCTCCAGTAGAGAGGTTAGAATCAGGGTGCCAACTTTTTTCTGCAGTCTATTTTTTGCAGGGGAAGCCTCCCAACCAAAACAGGGTCCTGGGGGACCTAGTAAATCTGCCCTCTTGGAGTTGGAACAAGCCCCGCCCTCCAAAGCTTCAAAAAGCTACTCCGCTGAGCAGTTGTCAATGCTTCCGAATTTCTTCCCCGAGAGGACCAGGGAAAAGTCGGGCCCCGTTGTTTTTTTGTGGGAGAATCCGTGAGTTCATGCATTTGACCCACACGCACCACAGGGCAAGGGAAAATTTTGGGTTCTGGTTGTTGTGAAACTTCTGTGAGGTCAAGCGTTTGACCCACATGCATCACAGGCTACTGGAGAAAGTTGACCGGACCTCATGTAGCCATTGAATGGAATGCCCTGCCCCAAGCATCAACGACTTCCTGTCACCATCACCATCACCACGCCAATGAGACTTTCCTGGATGCCAGCATCAGCACCATCACCATCCCTCAATGAAACTCTCCGGACTTCGTGCTACTAAGTTTGGTAACCTGCCTATAAGTTTCACCAGCACCGTCAACATAACCACCATTACCATCACCTCATCTGGGTCGAGCCTCTGGTAGGTTCCTCAAATGGTGGACTCCCTTTTGGTTGGTATTCAAGCTTGGTGGTTTTTCCTTTTGGTTTTCCGAAGCCCCAACAAGTGGGTACCAACGGGCCTCTGAACTACCCACCCCCCTTGCACCTACCCCCCACAGGGATTTCAGTTTAAACAAAGGAGGACAGACACATGGCTGTGGGTCAAACCTTTGGGGTAGGTACACCACCCATTTTAGTCTATCTTGGTGGGGATTGGGATGTTCACTGCGGGTACGATTTGGATTTTGACCCATGGCCACGTGACCCACGGGGTCCAAAATGAAATCGTCTGAGTCGAGCAGCGGACTTCTCTTTGGCGCCCAGCATGAGCCGAGTCGACTTCTCCGCCAGCAGCACCTGCCTGTGAGCGTCTGCGCTTTCCCTCCAAAAACTTGGGTGCTGCAACGACCCCCCTGCAAAAAGTTTTCAACTTGTTGGGGGTTTTGTGGAAAACCCTTTGAAACCAACCAAACAGTTTTTCAGTCTAAAGCTCCAACCCAGTAGCAGTAGAGAAAACAAAATGCCAAGGGAAGCCGGACCGGTTTTCCCCTCAAGCCATGGGGTTCTTCGCTCAACAATCCAAAAGGTGACCTTGGTGCATCCTCTCCCCTCACAATCCTCCCACAATCCAGGTGGCACGCAAACTGGGATCACTGGACACCCACCTTCAAAAAAGTTACCATTTTCGGATGGGCCTCCGATGAAACCATCGCCACTTTTGAAGGATTTGTCTAGGGGAGATGAGGTCTTTCCAAGGGGGCGAGCTCACCTCAAGAGTGTTGAATCTCCACTAAAACCACAATCAAACCCCCTGTTCATCAACCAGTCGTTATATATATATATACACACATATATACAACAATATATTATCATTATTATTATTATTGTTATTATTAGTATTATTATTATTATTGTTATTGTTACTATTATTATTATTATAATTATAATTATTATTAGTATTATTATTATTGTTATTGTTATTATTATTGTTATTATTATTATTATTATTGTTATTATTATTATTACTATTATTATTACTATTATTATTAGTATTATTGTTATTATGATGATGATTATTATTATTACTATTATTATTATTCTTACATCATTATTATCATTCTTATTATTTTTGTTATTATTAGTATTAGTATCATTATTATTATTATTACTATTATTATTATTATTAGTATTATTATTATTATTATGATGATGATTATTATTATCATTATTATTATTACTCTTATTATTATCATTTTTTAGTATTACTATTATTGTTATTACTATTATTATTGTCTCCGTCTCTCTTAACTAATAAAATTAGTTTTATGTTTCTATATATATATATAAACTCCGGGGTGCCCCAAATTTTGGGACAAGCTTTTAGGTCTCTCCTCGCCGTGCTCCCGCTTCCCGAGCCCAAACCACGGCTTCCACCGCGCCTGAGCTCCTCGGGGCTCCGAAATTTGTACCTCGCAGAGGTGGGGAAGGCCTTCTTCACCACGTCCTCGGTGCAAGGCCCGTGGCCCGGGGTGGGGTCAAAACCCCAAGGGTCGAAACCCCTTGGTGGAGGTGAAGCCCATTTTGTTCTGGGCTGAAAAGCTTGAAATCCATTAAAAAAAAGGTTATTGGCCCCCCCTCTAAAAAAAATGAAACAAAATGGGGTGAACTCTATTTTTTCTGAGTTGGTTGGGCTGCAAGGGTCAAAACCCACATGAATGGATTCCCCTCGATGGATTTCCCTGGCAAAGAATGAAACAACCAGGCCAAGCAGGAATCGCGATCTATCTCCACCAAGATGGATTCCTGGGTAGCCATGACGGCACAGGGATTCAGGATATCACAGAAAGTGGCAACCTGAAATGCCCTCAACCAAAAGAACCAAAACCAGTTCGCTCCCCGCGAAGCAGGGCTCCCTCCAGCAAACAAAAAGCACACATTTTGGGCTCAGGTGAGTCACAATCAAAACCCGGTACTAAAATGGTCTACCCAGAACCATGTAATGAATTAAGAAGGCGGCCGCAGCTATTTATGGCTGCGATTGTCCCTTACTAACCTTCATCTACCCAGGTTTTGATTGTGGCTCAGGTGACTTTGCAGTGTGTTTTGCAAACCCGAGAATCGATAGATTTGAGGCACGAAGTGGGGTGACCCGTTGAATGGCTAAGGAAACCTCGTGAAACGAAATGCATTTTGCGCCCAGTCTAGTGCTCGATTTCAGTCAAGCCTTTGGCTTCTGTCCTTATGTCCCTATGGATACGAGTCGAGGTCCCATGGTTGCTGATTCGACTCCCCAACGCAAATACCAACAAACCTTATGGTCTCAACCATGGTTTCATATAACGGATTTCGCAACCATCCAGTATGAGGGCGCAACTTCCGTCTAGATCGGTTCCTACGAAAGGCCTTTCCAGGGGAGGTGGGTACGTATTGCTCCCAGTTCACAACTCCACTCACAAGCAAACACAAACCCAAACAAAGCAGGCAAAAGCCGAAAGCACTGAAACCACCTGAGCCGCAAACTCAACACGTCTTGGTCTCCCTTTAAAACCCATCCAAAAAGGGGGGGGAGGGGTACGGGTACCCTTATGGTGGGCAATCCCAGCCAAACACAAAACCACTGGTTTTAATTGAACATACAAAATAAATACACCCGGGGTATACAAATGAGAAATACAAACAACATCAACCCATAGCCATATCACCCTCCAAAAACTGCCCTGGGCCCGCAGCCCCGCCCCCTCGCTCTCCGCTCTCCGGCGCCAAAGGGCCGCATGCAGCTTCCGCCAGGTGGAGGCCTCTGGCGCGCGCAGCACGGGCCGCGCCTTGGCGCGGCCATGGCCGCGCCCGGCCCCGCGCCGGCTTTGGGACGGCTCGTTGCAGAGGGCCGAGGTCCTTGGCATAACGAAGCGCCGGGGTGGGCGATTGAAGGGAAACCAAGAGGAAACCGTTCGCATTTTAAAGGGGGCCCTTTTTTGATAAACACCCTGCCGGGTCCATTGTAGTCACAGAAGTCTCTAAATTACCCATGCCAAAGTGTTGTTTACAAGGGTCAAAAAACAGGAACGCGCTATCTGCAAAGAAAAGCCGTGGAACGCCCCCCTCTACGTGCTAAAGGGGCCATTCACAAAGCAGCCAATCAGCAACACACAACGAGGCACATGAGGGTTCCAAACAGTGGAGTGAGGTGTTTAAGCCTTCATGGTCGTGCGCAAACGTTGTTTCCACCCTGCGGCCGTCGTGCGCAACTGGGCAACACACTTGGTTTAGAAGGCGTTCTACCTTCGCCGCGCTGGGGGCCCCGGAGGTGGATGGGCCCCAAAGAGGATGGAGTTTAAGGGTTTTTCCACTTCCGGGGCCCATCCAATTCAGAAAGAGCAAGAAGGAACAACAAGGAGAACAACCAAGCAAAGAGAAAGTGCAAGGAGCAAGAGCAGGGAACAAAAGGAGAGAGGAACAAACTGCTTCCCAACCTTTGACACCCTCTTCCACAGCTCCTCTTAGAATGCTTTGCGTGGTTTTGCAGACGCTGGTTTTGCATGCTGGGACAATGCTCTGACACTGTTTTTGGCGACGGTGAGACAATCTTCTGACGCTGCTTTTGCAATGATGCGCTGGTGACAATGTCCTGATGCTGGTTTCGCAAGGATTTGCTAAGCATCATTCCACAAAGCAAAGCCTGCAATCTGAGAGAGGCCATTCCTGCTGTTTGCGTTGCTTTGGCATGGAGGAAAAAAGCCGTTGGAAGTTTCCTGTGAGAGGGTGAGGATTGAAAATCGCCATCAGGCGGATACCATGAGTGGAAGGGGAGATGAATTTCACTCACGCGTTCAATCTAGCCGCGCACTGGAAGACGCAGGCGCTGTGACCTGCTTCAATCTCAGCACGGCAACGGGGGCAACCTTGCCTTCCTTGAGCTTCGCCTCCCGGCCCGCGGTGCGCAAGCTAGATGCTGCATCGAGCAGCCTTTCCAAGTGCTGCAGGCAGACTCATCATGCGGTTGGACGCGGGCGGCGTCGGACGCTGCCTGCCACTTCTTCTCTGTCAGCTGGCCCTTCACCTGGAACACACAGTCACAGATGAGCTAGCAGTCTTCACAATTAAAGGGACTCCTTGGTTGAGCGCTTGCGTCTGTGGCGTTGGCTCCCAGCCCGGGCGAGATTTCGCCAAGCTCTGGTCGAAAGCAAGCTTGCCCGAGCCGAGGCAGGTGAGGACTTTCCTGCTTGAACACCTTGTTGGATTTGGAGCCGTTGTCCTCCACGCGCAATGTCTGCTGCTGGCCATCTGTGGTGCCACAGTCCCTGCACAGCATCCCTTTCTGCGACGCCAAGTTCGGATGGCTACCTACAGGGGCAACTGAAGTTGGTGCGAAGGAGTTGGAGGCAAGGTGGATGTTCTCTGACTCCCCTACTATCCCCCTTGCTTATCACGAGCAACTTGCAAACCTCTTGCGTCGCCAAAGAGCATGGCGCAGCGGCCGTCGTTTTCCGCAACCCTGTTGTTCCAAATGACGTTTTCGCTGCTGTGGCTGAAACTTTAGGCCTCAAACAGCGCCTTTCTGACAACGCGCGCATCTACATTGGGTGTGGACCTCCGGCTGCACTGGGCAGAGCTTGAAGCCCCATATCTTTTTGAGAGGCATTTTTCCACGCGCTGTTGCCGAAAGCCAACAGCAGTGATGGCAAAAACGACTGAAGGTCCACATCTACATTGGGCGTAAAGAGCTTGAAGCATTGAACTGCAGCGGCAAAGAGCGAGCCGCCCAAGGCCCTCTGTGGAGCTCTTGTGAAGGCGACGTCCAAGCTTGGATCTCCTGACGCAGCCTGAATCTCCTCAATCTGATGGACGGAGGGTTTGTCGTGAAACTTCTCATTCCACCGACGCTCGGGCTTCGTCGTAGAACTGGAGCGGCGGTGCGCATAGGTGACACTGCTGGGATCAGGCAGACGCACCCGCGCGGCATTAAGAAGACAAAGAAGTTGCCTGGGACCATGCCGAGCCTGGAAAATTGCGACCGGAGGATGCCGCAGAAACCCATATGCTACGCTTTCAACTTGCCAGGGTGTGATGCACGCGAGCCCGGTAAGGCGTGTGCGCGCGGATTGCATGTTTGTCCAGAACCTGGCTGCTACAGGGCACACAGGTTGAAGGACCATCCTGGGCACTGACTCATAGCAGAACCTTTGGCTCAGGCACGCGTGGAGCAGACTTGCAAACGAGCAAGGGTGGCGAGCAGCTTTACGAAACCACAAGCAGACTTGCTGAGCAACACGCAGCCTGGCTGCGAAGGTTCAACAGTTTCACATGTCATGCCTGAGGACAAGTTTCACACGATTGCCTTGAGAACCAATCCCTCGCATCAAATCCCGGCTGAGAGATGGGCGCTTGATCCCAAGTGCGTTTACACACATTTCGGATACCACGCGGTACAACTTTGCGAGCCAGAGAAGTTAAATTCCCGGCAGAGCGCAGCGAACAACCATCTCAGAACTGGAGCGGACAAGGGGAATCCGACTGTTTAATGAAAACAAAGCATTGCGATGGCCTCAGAAGGTGTTGGCGCAATGTGATTTCTGCCCAGTGCTCTGAATGTCAAAGTGATGAAATTCAAACAAGGAAAATGTCCATAGCAACAAGTGCACCTGAGACCCTCCCTTCCCCCCGACCCCCCCACCCGCCCCTACAAGTAACAGTTGTTTGCTGGCTACAAGGGGAAAGGGGAACGATTCGGACACCTTAAGGACAGTATAGGGGAGTTAAGTCTTGAAAGGAACACTGAACATCAACATGGAAATCATCCAATATCCCCGTGTGATTCTACAGAAATCAAACTGAAACCATCTGTTTTCAAGCGAAGTGACCTAAAGGAAACGCAAGCTTTCTCCTTGCTCCGTTGCCATGAAACCATCAAAACAAAAGCGGGCTACGCAACCCCAAGCCGAAGAATCATTGTCGACCACGTTCGACAATGACCGCTTCTGTGATGCCAATTGGGTCATTCCCACAAGTACTTCTCACTTCCTGTCTGAACTTGCATTCACCACTAGAATGGTCTTCCGGACGGTCTTCCCAAGAAGTTTATAAAGTCCAGCAACTCGGGAAGTGGAGCGGTTCCTTTGTCCTCATCGGGGTACGCCCCCTGCATACATTGCTCAGGGCATTGGAGAGCTTAGTTGGCCAAGTCCGTCTCCAAAAGCTACCGACCATACCGTTGACGGACAAATCCAGTTCGCACCACTTGGGATTGGTGCTTTATTCAACCATTATTTATAGGGCGTCGTCTATCCCAAGCGGTGTGAAATGGATTTCGTCCACCCACAGTGTGCGCGGCCATATCGTCTGCCCGAAAAAAGAAACCATTGGAAGCCTTCTTGGCTGGAAGCATGTTGCAACTGCTTTTTCCATGGGTATCCCAGCCCGACTGCACCAAGGCCAACTAATCCGGCCCCTTGAACATGTGTCACTCATTCTTTGGGCGGGATGGCAAAGGTCCCGGCTATAGGACTCCAACTTAGATAGTTCCAGGAACATGGGCGAGCGGCTATATACCTCAACCTGATCATTGAAAGATGGTGAAATCGACGCACAAAAAAAAAACGTCAGCCTGTTCCACCAGACGAGATGTCAACATTTCGAACTCCCGGTTGCAGGTTTCTCCCACGACTGGGTCCGTGTCGAGTAATCAAACCCTGGCAAAGTGGTCTACCCGGAACCCCCATGCAAACAAGTGAAAGGGCGGATATCCCGACCTGTTCATGGCGCTAGGGCCAGCACTGTCCCTAACTCAACCATCATTTATTCGGGCTTCGATGGGCTGTGTCTCAAATAAGGACGGGGGCAAAAGGCTGGTTTTGCACAGAAGCCAAAAGGGGACCGGTCCAACTCAGTTTGTTCAAGAAAGGAATTGCTTACTGAGTTACTGAGTTGGTAACGGTCCAACTCATCATTAGCCTGGTTTTGATGGGTTCTGTGGCCCAAAAGGCTGGTTTACGACATCTGTCTGGAGCTTGGAACCCTGCTTGCTCATGTGCTCGTTTGGGAAGGTGACTGAGGCCATGCCTTGCTTAATTGCCTGCAAGCCAGGCATAGGTTCTCATTTGGGGATGGAATAGCCTCAGGTTGGTTCAAGGCGAAACCAAAAGCAACACCGCCATTTTGGGGGCATCTTGACACATGCCCATGATGGGTGTGAATTTTAGTTGGGGACTCTTTGGTGACATCAGAATTCGGTGTGGATTCATGTTCACCAATCGTTGTTGAGGTTCCAACTCAAAATCATAGCCATTTGGTGTGTGTGTGTGTTCTTTAGGGGATCCCCAAAAATGGCTGTTCCTTTTGGCTTCCCTTTAAATCCACCAAAAAAAACAGAGCCTCAAAGAGAGACAGATCCCTGACTCTTTTGGCTACCCCCCCCCCCAAGTCCAAGGGGGGTCCAAGGGGGTCAACGAAGGCCAACTAGGTCCAAGTCCACCTGGGCGCTTGACTCGCCCACCCCTCGCCGAGCTTCAGATCCGCCTCCGGCGGCTCGGCGTCGCGCAGCCGCTCCCTCGCCGCCGCGCGCGCGGGGGACATCTCCGCGAGGCCCAGCGCCGCGCGGTCGAAGCTTCGCAGCGGCGACAGCCAGGCGCGCTCCAGCTTGCAGTCCGGGGAGAGGTAGGGGTACCACTGGTACATCTGCCCGGCTTCGAAAGCGAAACCGAAAGGAGAAAGTTTTGGCCAAGCAAAAAAAAAACACGCGCCAACCGAAACGAGAAAAAGGGCCAAGCAAAACAACAACGCAGATAAAACAAAAAGCACCACGAAAATAACTCATTTAAAGAAAAAGAAGGCGCCAGAGGGACGGGAAAGTCAGACTCCGAGCCCGAAACTCAGAAGAGAAAGGCCAAGCAAAAGCGCCAAAACGCCTTTGAGAGAGGGCAGGGAAGGTCAGAAGAGAAGTCCCAAAGTCAGAATCCGAAGGTTCAAGTGAGAACTCACAATCGTGGAAGGATGTCTTTTAAGGGCCTTGAGTCTTTTGTGAGACAGAGAGTCTTTGAATATTTTTGTCTTCTTCTTCATTAGAAGGCAGAATGGAACCATAAATGGAATTCCGGTGGTGGAACTCCCCCCTCCCCCAATTCCAGCTTGAAGGTGGGGACGATTCCGGCATCCCCTCCCAATCCGAAACACCTCAAAGGAGATACGAATCCCTGGCTTGAAGCCCGGCTTGGAGGCGTGGAGGTGTGGAGGTGTCCCATCTGCCCTCTACAAGAACGTCGCTTCAAACTTCAAATCCGAAGCCTTTTGCGTTTGCCTTTGCGATAGCGCACAGTGTCTGTTCGCAGCGATTTATTGGGGGAGGGGGAGAGAAGATGAAAGGAGAAGGCCCCAAAATAACAACCACCAAAATGCCTAGAGCCTCCATGACCCTTAAAAGACGGGTCCGTGACCCCTTCATTTTGGGTAATGACCAACCGTTTTTTAAGGGTCAGAAGGAGACTCCAGGGAGAGGAAACCATCAATCCAAACCATCCAGTAAGGGATAGCACCAAACCAAACGAAACGAAACGAAACGAAACGAAACGAAACGAAACCAAACCAAACCAAACCAAACCAAACCAAACCAAACCAAACCAAACCAAACCAAACCAAACCACATAGAGCTTTACCGGGGAGAGTCCCTCGACAAATCCGCTGGTCGCCTCAGGGCGAGAGGTCTCCAGGCGCTTCCACTCCCACTGCTCGGCACAGGCCACCGCCACACCCTCTGCCCGGCTCGACGCCTAGGGGAGACCGCCGCGGATCCCCGAAACTGACATGGGTCTTGGGGGGTTTGCGTTTGTTTTGTTTTTTTTTTAATCGTTTTTCTTGGAACAGATTCGTTTTTTGGTTGTTGTTTTGGTTTTTCGGCTTGAATGGTTTTTTTTTGGGGGAACCGATTCTGTTGAAACCTTGGGGTTTTTCATTTGTTTGTTGGCGGTCTTCTTGCTGGTGCGAGAGATGCAAGGAATGAGACATGGAATGACCCCTGGAAAAAAGAAAATGTCATGGTGTCCTTTCAGGGAATCCCAAAACGGTGCATTTCCAAGACCCGGACTCGGTCATTCCCTACCTGCCGCACCAGCGAGTCTTGGAAATTGGAGAACGAGGACGTGAGGTCCCACGCTAAAGCTTCCCTTGGAGAGCTTCTTAAATCCAGTGAACAGATTCCGATCTCCACACATGCGTATGGGTCAAAATTAAAGCACCAGGCAACCGCAGGTTTTAGTCATTGTGTCCCTTTCCCACCATTTTGGGCACCTATTTTTAAACCACACCCACATGCTTTTGAGGGGGTGAGTTTCCTCTACCAAAGCTGGGTGTGACTCCTTTCTTTTGGGGGCCCCCTCACAAAAATGGTGGCTTTTCCTTGGGTGTCCCTTTAAAACAGCCTACCCTCAACAAAAAACGAGCGACTTTCCCTTCTCCCCACATCCTCGTTCTCTAACCCCCAAACCACCGGGACTGAGTGGGAAACCTATTCTTCTTCCTTGGCAACCATATCCCATGATTTCTGCGTTCCCATTGCCTCAACCTACGTCCCAAAGCGTCCTATTTATCGCTTTCGGTCTTCGCATTCGGGCGAAAGAAAACCCATGGGTTCCCTCCATTGGGCTTCGCCAAATGGGTTTCTGTGGCTCACAATACAAAGGAATTCCAAAATGGGTTGCCCTGGTAAGTGGAAACATGGACCAAAACCTGCGGTTTGCCCCTGCTGTTTGATTTTGAGCCACACCCAAATCAGTTTGTCTCCGAAGTGCTCAACGCCCATCAGTCAACCAGGTTTATTAGTTAAGGGCCTCCAATTCCCCGTCTCAATCCCATGTCGAGCCCAAACAAACCCAACGTCCCCTTTAAACACATTTCCCTGTGCGTCCTGTTTTCTGTGTGGCAAACTTTAGTTAGCCCAATGTCATTCTGAAACCAGTCATTCTGCTGTCAGTTGCTCTCCCTGCCAAACCTCCATTGTTTTTCATCAGCCAAGGCTTTTGCACTGCTGACTTCCCATTCCCCTCATCCCATTTCGCCATCTCACCACTGGTGCACTCCAAAAAAAAATGGCAAAGGCTTCCCAAAGGCTTCCCTTCCGACCCAAACCCATCCAACCTTTTCACCTCAAAAGGAGCCACGCCCGCATCCCAGACAAATGAAGCCCGAGAACCCACCAACTCCGGGACAGGTCCCTCCCCATCACCCGAACCAATCGGCGTCGCCCGCATCACCTTTTTCGGCTTCAGCTCCGGGGATTGCCCACATGCCCAGCGGCCATGGGGAGAAGGGGCATCTTTTGTTTGCTGGCTGAGTTTGAAGGGGAACCGCTTAAAAAAAAAACAAGGTGAACATGATGGCTGCTTGATTTTCAAGCAGAACCGTCAGACCCCGAGCCAAAAAACAACTGAGAATTCACTCAGCGCCCGGAGATTAAAACAAACAAACCCAAACCCAAAAATCCCCAACACCAAAAAACCTGGTGAAACGAAACCAAAACGGGGAAGCAGATTCCTAAAATCACCAAAAAAAGGTGACAGAACCCACAGCCCGGAGAAAAAAAGCAAAAACAAAAACCTGTGAAACCACCCACACCGCCGACCAAAGACCTGCTAAACCCCCAAACGCCCAAAGCGGGTCTCCGGGCGTAGGTGGCGCGGCGCCGCAGGAAGCTGGCCGGGGGCTCCAGCCACACGGTGCCCAGCGTGCGGCCGCAGGCGTAGCCGGCGAGCGCCATGGCGCCCGTGGACTTCGGCAGCCGCCCCCCGTCCTGCTGGACCTCCGCTGGGCGTCTGGTGGAGTTGGGTGGGGGGTGGGGGGCGTCTGGTGCGGTTTGGTGAGTAATATGTTTTAAAAGAAATAAGGAACCGGAGATGGTTCAAAAACCACCAACTTAACTAAATAGCAAAGGAACCGGATGGTTGCGGGTGAAATGGCCACGGGTCAAAATCCAAAATTCCGTACCCCCAGTGAACATCCCAATCCCCACTATTGTTCTTTTTGTTGGTTCTAAAATGGGTGGTGCACCTACCCCCAAAAAAAAAGCACCATTGGCTTTGACCCACAGCCATGTTACTCTGTGCACCCCACCCACCCACAAAAAAAAAAAGTAATAGTGGGTGTCTGATCTGTTTGAGCTGTTGGGGTGTTTCCGCCCCCCCAACAAAAAAAAAGAAAGAAAGTTGGAAACAGGCCCAGGGATGTGTCTTCTTTTACCCCTTGCCCCCCAAAAAAAAGTAAGCCCAGATAATATCCCAACAGCCCCAGAACCCCAGGAACCTTTCCGGAACTCTCCCAAAGACCCCGCAGCTGGAAAGCTATGGGGAAAGATGTGGCGTTCCTGTTGGCTTCCCTTGAAAACCGATAAGGGGGACCCTCAAGTTGTGGCTCTTGTCTTTCTTGGAGGCGAAAGTCAGCTTCCGTTTCATTGGTTTGGAGCGCGGTTCTGGAAGGGTTTCCCATTTACCGTCCAAGGGGTTCAAATCCCAAACCAGCTTGGACGTCATTTGGGTTACTCACAGTGTGGTGTGCCTGTCTTTACCGTGGCTCAGGACCGTTTGTTGGGTTTCCAAAGAAAGCAAAAGGAACCCGACCATTTCAATGGTTACAACAAAACAACCCCATTGAAGGGATTGGACGGTACCCTTAATCAACAGGTGTCACTTGATTTCCCCTTCCAAAAGTTGCACAATGCAGCGGTGTCCATTGAAACTGCCACTTTGGAGGCTCCAAAAAGGGACACGGAGGAAACACTGTCCACCCCAACCCAGGGACTCAAACCGACTAAAACTGTGAAGTTGGGTGCATGCTTCAGACTTACCTGCCAAATTATCATTATCCAAATTGGGTCCCCGGCCATACTTTTCATGGGGGCAAGGAACCTGACGGATATGTGGAACTCCAAACCAATCCGAGGTTGAGCCCTCGGCCTCTACAACGAGGGCTTCAAACGCAGATCCCAACCCCCAATCCAATCCACCAACCTGACGGGCAACGCAACCCTCGGCCGAAAAACCCTTGGGTCGGTTTTCCTTCCACTCTGGGCTCCACTCTTTGACTCGCAGATGCCTCAAAGAGAGTGGGTCATGTACCCCCAAGGAAACAGCTGGGTGTTAAGTCTGGTCTTCAGGTTTCGGAGGGGTAAACCAGTGCCATCGATGTTTCACCAAAACAACCAAAAAGGACACCTATGATGGTTTGTTGGTATTTGCCAGAGGAATCGACTCATTTTCCAGGGTTTCTGAACGGGTGCGAAATGGATTGCGCAACCATCCACAGTACCATCGCCTTCTTTGTAGGCCGTCCAACAAAAACGGCTGATATCCACTCGAAGCGTTGTCCACTCGACAGCAAAAAATATGGAAGCCTGTAAAACCTCCACGGCCTGTCTCAAAAATGGGACTCCCCCCCCATTTTGAAGACAAAAAAAAAAAACGGAACCCCCGGGTTTTTTAATAGCCGACCGATCAGGCAGGCTATTAAGACAGGCCCTTGACAAAATCACTACGAAAATCAACAGTTCGCAGGTCCTCAGGACATGGATGCGGCTCAAAAAACCGGTACCAACATGGAACCCTGGTAAGTGGAAACAACCAAAACCTAAAAAATAAATAAATAAAATGAGCCACACCCTGTTGCGGATCAAACATTGCTGGTGGATGGTCAGTCAAAAGGATGTCCCCGATGGCTGACCCCTTTGCATCAGGCATCAGGAATCCAAGTGCTTGCAGGCAAGCTGCAAGCCACTAGGAAACCCTTCAGGTTCCTTGCTTGTCTTTTCTTTCCTTGGTTTGAAGGGAGAACATGTTTTGGGACTCCCTGAGTTCCTGTACTGTGGCTTAAGACCATCTTAGTGAAAGACCGAAATGGGGCAAGGATCGGCCATTTTGGGGGATGACGCCCTTTTCGGGGATGGAGACCATCTTAGTTAAGGACGGCTTTTGGGACGGAGGCCCTCGCGGCGAGCGGCGCGGCGCAGCAGCCGCAGCAGCTCCCGGGCGCGGCCGGAGATCGCCAGGCCCCGCGCCAGCTGCGACACCAGCTCCAGGTCCTCGCTTCCCCGACCCGGCGAAACGGGGCCCCGGGAACCGAAAAGGGGGGGGAGGGGGGGGGGAGGGGGGGTCGCAGAAAAAAAAAACGGGGGAGGGGGGGGGGGGGAGGCTGGGGTTCGAGAAAAAAAGAAAAGAAAAAGGGCCCAAACAGCAATCTCACGTAAGCCTCTAGGTGGTTTGGATTTGAGGTTGAACTCCCTAGTTCTTGTAGAGGGTAGAATGGGAAACCACCCTGGCAGCACCTGGTTTAGATTGGTGCTTGGGATTTGGATTTGAACCCTTGGTTCTTGTAGAAATGGGATTTCCCACAACTCCAAACCAACCACCGGACTCCAAACCAACTAGTGGGAAGCTGAAAGCTGGGGGGGGGGCCTCAAGTTGGAAGCTCCAAACAACAAGACCCAAAGAGACTCCACACCTGGGCTGTCCGTTTTCTTTGATCTGCTAGCTTAAAGAACTGGTGGGTCCAATGCCGCAACCGCCACTCGACGAATCTAAAAAACCTAAGAAACTTTCCAGGGCTGTGGGAAATGACCACTTCTGTGATACAACAATAAGGGCTTCCCAAAGACTAACCCACCACATAACGGGGGAGATTCCCTTGTACCACAGAAGTGACCCTGTAAGAAACTGGATGCAAAAAAAACCCGAGAAACAAGATACCAAAGCGAGAGCTGGGAGTTTCTGGCTGGTGCTCAGGGAATGAGAGAATGAACCCGAAGATTCCCCTAAAGGAAACCACCAGTTGGGGGATTTTGCTCGGGGTCATTCCAACTCATTCCCTGAGCACCAGCAAGCTTTTGGGAGGCTAAAGCCGCTCCGAAGAAATCCGGAGCCGATCTGGGCCAATGTCGACGGGTCCTCAAAGCTTTCAGTTCCTGGGGGGGGTCCCCAAGGAACCCCGAGGGCTCTCAGATGACCCCCGACCCCTTGTACCCTCCTCACAGATTCCATCCGACGAGGTTGGACCAAAACTAAAAATGGTCCGTGGTGATTCTGTGCTAAGCCAAAAAACGATCGGCACGACGCGATACACCTAAACCAACCGCAAACCAAGCAATACACCGTGAGCCACCTCGCCCGTGGCTTGCTTGAATCCCTGCCGGAAAAGGGACAGATACCCTTGCAAAACCAACAAGAACCAGAAGCAATGAACATAAATCCACTCCTTCAGCTAGGTTAGTGTAAATCAAGGGCTCATATCTATTTCAGTCCTCCATGGGCAAATGGAATCAACCAACATAGATATGGTACACATAGCAAAATAGAGCAACAAACCACAGCAAGGCTAAATATGGAAAACCACCAATGGTTAATAGAATTGGGCCCTTGTAAGTCAAAGGGTTCTCCATATCGGGAAAATCAGCTGCACCCAACGCGTGTGTCCAGAAAGGGTTGAACACAACCGTCGGCTCCCTTTTGGTGGTTTCCAACATCCACCCTGATGGGGTGTTGCAGGGGAATCATAGGTATCCTTCTAGGGCAAATAGATGGCCCTGGTGGATGATTAAACCACCAGGTAAACCAGGGCCATCTATGTTTCCGCCAAGACAACCAAAAAGGACACCTATGGGACGAATTATGAGCAACAAACTGGGTGAGTTTTTGCTCAGCACGAGTATCGTGAGTGGGACAGAGGCACCTACGGTTTGATGCCGCTCCGCGCTTCGCATCGAACTTCCAGCAACATACAAACAAGACGCCCATGTGCGCATGCCCCCCTTTTTTCCTGGGATATTTCTTCCAACGGGAACGAAAAAAAACACTCTGTTCAAGCCTCCGAGGTTCAACCCACAATTGAGCCGCGTGCTCAAAACCGATTCGGGTAGATGATCCGGTTAGTAAGGGGCAGTCCCCTTGCCAGAAATCGCTGCGGAAATGTCCGCCTTCTTAATTCTTGAAGCATGGTTCTGGGATTACGACCATTTTAATGCCCGGGTTTTGATTGTAACTCAATTGAATCTTCCCTTTCACCCCGAAGCGGCTTCCTGCGTTCCCGCCCGAAAAGCGAGTGAGGCTTCTGGAGGCCTTTCGGGAAGTGAGGCTTCTGATGCTGTGGATGGTTACGAAATCCTTTTGCACCGCACCACCGTTCAGAAACCCTGGAATCATGATTCCTCTGTAAATGCCAACTAACCAATGGTTTCACCCATGGTTTCAAAGTGGTGCAGGATTGCGTCCATCCACAGTATGACCTGAACAAAAAAGAAATTTGATTTGTCCGTTTTCTGATTCTGGTCTTGTCACATCTTTCTGATTGTTGACATGGCCTAGGAATTGAACTTGTTTTTTTTTTTCCTGGGCTGTCCGGTTTCTGAAATGAACTGTGGGTTGACTTCAGACACCCCACTAAACCAATGAATCCAAAAACCTCAAAACAACCGGATGATTCGCCGGGAAGGGCCAAGTTGTAAGGTGAGCAACTTGAAAACCAGGATCCATGTGCCACGGCCGAAGCCTTGCGGCTTCCCTACGAACAGGAGGAGGCCAAGATTCGTCAACAAACCAGCCGGTCCCACGTGGAAAAGCGCGCAAAAAACTCGGGGCTTCCTGCTAGTTGCTGGTTTGGAGGTGGTTGGGGGTGGGGAAACTCCAAACTGAACATCCCAAACAATACAAATCATCCCAAACAACACCAAAAAACCATAAAGAACCGGACGACTCGGGAAGCGCTAGGGTGTTTTGGGTCAGCTTCTAGGGGTTGATTCCCCATTCTTTTCAGCCATCGTTCTTTTCAAAACCGGCCATTTCCCCGAGGGTTTGGGTGCTTTTCTGGAAAGAATGGAAATGGAACGGTTCCTATCTCCCGTGCTTCCTGTGGTGCCACCAGCTCCAAGCGCGGCCGGACATTCTGACTCGCCAGGAACCACCTGACTGTTGTCAAAACCGCTTTGGACCCCATTTTGAGGTCGTTCAGGGAGGTCGGAGTCGAGTTGGGAGGTCGGAGTCGACTTTTTCAAGGGAGGGACATACTGTGGATGGACGAACTCCTGCACCACTTTGCAACCATGGTTGAAGCCATTGGTTAGTTGGTATTTACCCGAGAATCGACTCATTCCAGGGTTTCTGAACGGTGGTGCGAAATGGATTTCGCAACCATCCACAGAATTTCACTGGGGGCAACGATTTGGATGTTGATGGCCACATGGGCCATTTTTCCGGGTCCCGAGTCCCAGGGCGGTAGGCGGGCCTTGCCATGAACCACGGGACGGGACTCACTTCCGATCCAGTGGATGGCCCAAAACAAGTCCAAACCGTGTGGATACCACTGAAATGGTCCAAACCCAAAAAGTATAAAGTGCAGGAACTCAGTAAGTGAGGGTATGTGGGGGTTCATCAATATTCCATTTAGGGCCTATGTTGACCATGGGCAACTTCCCCCATGTAGGAAATATCATCTTTTTAGAGTTCCCCCAATGGTCATCCCATATAAAGGACCTTCTGATGAACCCCCAAAACAGTGGCTTCCCTTTTGCTTCCCCTTTAAACCAATCTGAAAAAAGGGTACTCTCAAAAACCGACACAGCCGCAATAAGAAATGGAACCGATCGCTTCAGATTCTCAGCTTCCAGATTGGTAATCAGCTTCTTGAAGAAAAGCAACAGGGTCAGATAGAAGAAAACAATTGGGAACCCTACGCTCGCATGGGACAACTGAAGCCCCCGGTTGAAGTGAAAGTCCCTCTATTGATTCATGCGGGAGATCCTGCACTTGGGCGGCGGAGCATTACCTAGTCTACCAAGCTGATTGAGAACCTCAACCCCCAATGATCACAAAGCCAAACACCTACCAAGTTGATTAAGAACCCCCTCAATGATCGCAAACCCAAACCCGGCAAAGGAGCCTCTCTCTGGCCCCAGTATTTTACAATTATCAAAGTCACCCCCCAAGTGGTAGGTCAAAAGGAAATCACCCGAGTTTCTGAATTTGATGACCCCCAGAAATGGTCAAAACAACGAACCGACCCCCCTCAATGATCACAAACCCAAACCGGAGGGAAAAAAAGGGGAAAAAAACGGCAAGATCTAGTCAAATATGGTTTGCGCATTTGCTCTTCGTCAAAGCCAAACATTTCTGGCAAAGGAACCTCTCTCTCTCCCGCTCTGACTCTTGGGGCTTCAGGATTCCGCTGCTTAATTCCAAGGCTCTGATTTAAGCCCGGTGGAACTCCCCAGGTCGCTGTTTAATTCCAAGGCTCTACCTGTAGACTTAAACCCGGTGGTTGGAACCTTGAGGTCTGGAGAACCAACCCATGGAACCCATGAACCCCATGGACCCCTTGGCCCCCAAAACCCCCGAGGGGTTTGGGGCCCCCGGCAGGTAGGCCGCCTCCAGGTTGCCGCCCCGCAGCATGGCGCTGCTCACCGCCAGCAGGCACTGGCCCCCCGGCGGGCCACGCAAACATCGCCAGGCCTGGGAGACTTCACGAAACAGATCCAACCACTTGGAACAATTACATGTAAACATATGTGTACAAGGTGTATTTATATATATATATATATATGTATACACATATATTTATATATACACATATATATATATATATACAGATATACATATATAGGTATATGCGTATATACGTGTATATATATAGTTGTGGATATACATAGGAATATGTATATATATATATGTGGTTGTGTGTATATATATATACACATCTGTATAATATATATATATATGTGTAGATATGTAAATACATATATAATGAAAAAGGAAAAAGAAACAAACATGGATTCTCAATCTACGTCAGGTAAGTGGGGAATCAAGGTTAAGTACTTCAGGACCCGATTCCAAGCTTTCAACTTCGGCCAAGATCATCTCAGATTCCGGTCTCTTGACCAAAACCGCCATTTCGAGGACAAGCTCCTCTCATTTTACCCTTCCAGCCTTCTCGCATGGAACCCGGGGACGTAGTCCCTTCAAAACCAAAGATGGTCTTCCAACCCTCCCCCCCCTTCCAACCCTCCCCCCCCTTCCAACCCTCCCCCCCCTTCCAACCCTCCCCCGCCCCTTCCAACCCTCCCCCCTATGCCCACCCGCCCCCCCACCCCCAAAACGTCCAACAAGTTCCACGTGAGAAGGCGGGGTTTGGCTCACCTCCACTTGCCACCGGCTGGGCGCCCCGCCTCCGCCAGGGTTTGGCTCACCTCGAGGGAGGCGGTGAGCCAAAGATGTGCGGGCGCGTCTTTTGTTGGAGGCTCGCTCGGTACCCGTTTTGGGCATTTTTTCCTTTTCCCTCATAGGCTGTTACCAAAAGAGGTTAAGGGGTGTTTAAACTATTGTTTGCACAAAGGCTTTGGCATCGCCAACCCACTCAAAAGCACTACCCCTAAAAGAAACAAGGGAAACGATGCCAAACCTGGTGGTGTGCCTTCTTGGATGTTCAACCTGAGAAAGTAGGTTGGTAGGCAGGCAGACGGACAGGCAGGCAAAAAAGACAGATAATCAGGCAGGCAGGTAGGTATGCAGGCAGGCAGGCAGGCAGGCAGAAAGACAGGCAGATAAGCAGGCAGGTATGTAGGCAGGCAGGCAGACAGAAAGACAGAAAGACAGGCAGGCAGCTAGGTGTTTAAACAGGGGATGTTCATTGCCCCTTCCGCACCTCGATGAGGAAGTTGGGGGACGCCATGTGCGTCTTGGCCTCCACCAGCAAGCGCAGGGCCTCGTCGTTCACCAGGTCCAAGGCGAAGATCTCCTGGGCGTCCGCTCGATCGCTTTGCCTCGAGCTGCTGAGCTGCGGAGGCGAAGTGGGGTTGACCACATCTTAACCACCAAACCACCCCTTCACCACCAAACCACCCCTTACCTACCACCTCAAAAAATATCAAAGTAAACATGTTAAGGTACCTTTCTTCGGACCCCCAACCTGGATTTGCCAATTGATGGTTTGGATTGGTGGTTTGGATTTGAAGCCCTGGCTCTTGCAGAGGGCACCCCAATATCAGCTTCCCTCCTTGTTTGGTGGCTTGGAGCCCGGTGGTTTGGCGGTGGAGGGGGCTCCCAGTTACACTCTGCAAAGGAGTCCAAATCACCAACTGGGGGGAAGCTGAGCTGTGTCTTTGTCAAGAAGCTGGATCCGGTTGGCTTCCGAAGTGCAGCTTCCCATTCAAACGCAACACCCGAAATTGCGAAGCGAATCTTATACAGCAAAATGGTGTTGATGCTTCACGGAAGTGCACCGGGTTCTTGGCAGGGTTGGGCGACTCAACCCTTGGAACCACGCGGGGCATGCGGATCTCGGCTCTCATGTCCGCGGATTGGCACCAATATTTTAGACTTTTTGTTTTGTACATGTCACAGAAACCTTGGTGCCACAATCCTAAAGATTAAAAGTATAGACGAAAAAAGGATCTTGGCGGGTTTTCCCTAGACTGTAGTCACTTTCTGGGTGCCCAACTTGGGCTCTCATGTCTTCCCAAAAAGTGACTACAGTTCAGGGACTGCCCTTGAAGCATGCCCACTACAAGGGGCCCAGGTGAGACGTCGCAAAACTTCGGGCCGCCAACGATGGGCCAAATCCGAAAACCGAAAGGAGACCTGCAAAACAACGACAGCGTGTTGCACCCCTACACACCGCAGCCCCGACCATTTTCTGGTTCTGAGGTTTACCTCGTGATTCCCTTGAAAGAATCCGAGTGCCCTGCACCAGGCAGAGTCCCCCCTCTCAATTGCTGGGCTGTCCGTTTCTCCTGATCCCCTGCTAGAAATGTTTCACTTGTGGGTTAAATTCGGAAACCCCACCAAACCAACTAAAAATCTAAAACCTAAGGGGACGGCCGGAAAACCGCCAAGAAGTCACAAGGCTATTTCGACAGAGGAAAACGGGGACTCGCAATATCGCCTCCCACCCTTGTGGTTTGTCAGAAAGGTAGTATATCAGGTAGTAAACAAGCTCTGATCGCTTGCACCAAGAGACAATTGTGTGGGTGTTGAATTCTAATTGGGGAATTTAGTGGTGGATCTTATCTAGGTGCATATCCACAACTAGATTTGAGGTGGTTCTCTGTTAAAAGTCATAACCATGTGGGCTTGTTTCCAAATAAGGGGAGCCAACAAATCGTGTGGGATTTCCGCTTGGTTTCCCTTTAAATCAAGGATGAGAAGGGTACCTTCAAAAAACACCCCGCATTTCTTCAATCAGCTCCCGGGTGGTTTGGAGCCGAATCGGTTTGGATCTCAGGCCTGGTTTCCCAGTTCCCCTCAAGAAAGCATCAACTCCAAATCCAAACATATCCAAACCGCCAAGCAGGGTTTTCACAAGGAAAATGGTGAGCAACCCCCGAGCAACCCCTAAGGACAATTCTCCAAGCCCGGCCCCCCCAAACCTCAGGTTCCATGTTGACTGGGAGGGTACCCCCCAAAAAAGGACGGACTCCGCCAAGCTTTGGTCAGTTCGGGAAGGCCGGTCCTTGAAGATCAAGTCGGCCCGTTCGGAGCTGAGGGGGTGCTTGGACTGCACCAGCCCAGAGAGTATCCTGGGGATGGTTGGCTTCTAAAGCCAAAATCCAAGCATTTTACCGCAACCAGAATATAAAACCGGTATCTTTTACCCAAAGTCCAGAACCTGAAATACGAGTTGGATCAAGTCAAGAACCTACATCATTCTGAGCGAGTTGTTGACCCAACAACTCCCAAATCGCTGGAGTCGCTTGCCATGAATGGTGTGAACAGAGCTGTCAACGCAGCGACCTAAAAGCCACCCTCGTCCTGCACGAGCAAAACACAGGGACCCAAACATAGGTGTCCTTTGAGGGGAAATGGATGGGTTTCCCTGGTCGATGATTAAACCACCAGGTAAACCAGGAATCGCCCTCTTTTTGTCCTAGCAAAGCAACCAAAATGGACGCCTGTGGACCCAAACCGAAAAAGAAGAGGTGACCTCCGTGGCAGGAAGGCGTGCCGCGCTTTCGTTTTTTGCGACTCGTCGAAGAAAACGTCCTGTTGAACATCTCTGAGGCAGACTCCAGATCCAGCGCACCCTCATCCAGCAGGTCCTGGCGCTTGGAACCGCCACGCAGGCGCGAGCAAAATTTCCAACCCGGAACCCTAGGGTTCAACTTGCACTCGGTAAAGGAATGGCCTTCTTGGGGACCCAAGTTGGCTGAAAATGCTGATGTAAGCCTTTGTTTCAATAATTTGCCATTGATTCAATGGTAGCTGACCCGAGTAATTGGCCTTCTTGGGGGCTCAGCCACCATGGCCATGGGTCAAAATCCCGCACTCCCAGTGAACATCCCAATCCCCACTAAAAAAGGTTCTAAAATGGGAGGTGAATTCTGAATTCACCTACCCCGAAATGGGATCCAAAACGGTATTGACCCACATATCAACCCAGCCTTTGCTTCAGTAGCCACGCCAAAGCGCCAAAAGGAAATGGACACGGGGGTCACGCAGGACACCTCCCATTTGGCAACCCCTTTGACCTGGCACACCGCGCGCTCGCGCTCCGGCCAAAGAACCAAATCCGCTCCCCCTTCCACTGTGCTTTCCAAAAACCCAGGTAAAAAAAGGCCGGGAAACAAAGCCAATGTGCTCAGATCGCTGGTCTCCCTTGGTTCCGGCTTGCTTTCACATGAGGAATCCGGTCCTAAATCATGCTTTCTCTTCACCAAGGTTGTTGATTCCTATGCCCTAGGGTTCAACTTGCCCCCAAAGAATCGCCTTTTGGGGACTCTAAAAGGAATAGTCTTTGGGAAAACCATGGCGAAATATGAACCCAACCATTGTTTTTTCTTATGCAGGCAGCCAAGTCTCATCGTTTTTTCTGGATCAAAAGCAACTAGTTCGCAGATTTTTCCTGGCGGCCTTGGCCTGCCTGAACCCGCAGGGCATGACGACTGGCCATACCTTGAATCTCACGGACTGGCCGTGGAGTCCAACCATGATCCTTACATTATACACCTGAACATTGCAACACCCCCAACGGTCCTTGACGTGCTGGACGGCAAAATCGAACTGCGAAAACTCCCCGAGGATCTGCAGTACCTGCCCTCGCAGGAAGAGGGAGACGGGAGTCCTGGCTGGGCGGTATGTCTCTTGCTGGGGGAACCCCCAGATTGGTTTCCCTGAGGTTCTTTCTTGCTGGTTCGATAGGGGAGGAGAAATGGAATGACCCCGCAAAAAAGGAACACACATCTCCGCTTTGGCTTCCTTTAAGGGAATCCCCAGGTTCCTTGCCCCCATACACTCCCTCAGACTATCAGCCGGAAGATCCCCCAATTGACCTCTGCAAAGAAGGGAACCAAGTCTCCCAGAAGGGAAGCTTCCATGGAATCGACTGGAGGGCAATTGAATGGCCTTGGGACCCAATGTGGATGACAATGCTTCGCTAAACGATGGTGATATGAACCCCACCATTGTCTGAATGGTGATTGGTGGTTTGAACCCCCGTGCCCTCGAAAAATTTTTAAAAAAAAAGAGACGAGCATCTATGGCTGGTGTCTTTCAACGGGCATGATTGCTCCCGCTGCCTGCCAGATCCTTGAGCATTCTTCATCCAATATCAGGCATGAAACTGACTGAAGCAGGATCAATATGTCTTTGCTTCTTTCTGTACAGGACCAGTTCAACGCCTAAACGATATCCCGAGTAGAATCACAATAATCACGCCCTTATGAACTCAAACGAAATCAAAGCATATCCTATCCTGAACTTCCCTGGTGGTTGGTAAAGGGGGATTCCCACTATGGCGGTCCATCCATTTCCTCATCCATGGTTGAAACTTTTTCTTCCTGACAGATATCCTCATTGTCTAAATTCCCTGAGGGTTCCATGACCAGCTCTGCCAGTAAAAGGGTGCTTTGATTCATAGTAATCAAGAATAGCAACACCAGAAACCGGTAGCCGTTAGGGGCCTGCTCAAAAACAGTATACCCATCAACCTGCAAAACTCATAATGCTAGTAGGCGGTAATGTCCCCTGCTCCACGGCCAACGTTCTTTGTGCGTCCCCAATGTTCCGCAATGTCCTAGCGAAGTTTAGTGAGTATACCCAATGTTACATATCGGCAAACCCTGGTTTCACCGCCATTATTTCCCTAAAGATTCTCATCATCCAAATTGGGTCCTTGCCATTCTTTTGTGGGGGTTGACCCTCAGGGTAAATGTTGTCCGCAGCAGGCCGTTGCTCCTACCACCCAGGGCTCTGTTCCAAGCCGCTCCCTGGCCGTTCGCGGTGCGTCCGCGCCTTTGCTCCACGCACCACCTGCCAGGCCGATCGGCAAGAGTTCCTTTGGCTGTCCGTTTTCAGAGCCCCTGCCAAAAGTTTCACTTGCGGGTTAAATGGTCCCCACTAACATACACTGAAATGGGTGGTGCACCTACCCCAAAATGGGATCCAAAACGGTTTTGACCCACAGCCAAATGGTGACCCCCCCACGAAATTTCAACTAAAAAGCCAAAGAAGCGGATTTTTGGGAACCACCAAGTTTGGTTAGCCAAAACAAAGGCGGCCCTTCTCTGAACGCTGGAATAAGATCAGCTTCCTCCTTGTTTGGTGGGTTGGAGCCGAATCGGTGGTTTGGTGGTTGAGGATGGTACATCTCAGCTACCCTCTGGAACTAGGGCTGCAAATCCAAATCCAAACTAATTAGGGGTTGCCTGAGAAGAGAGGGTAAAACTTGCTGAGTGAACTACAGAAAACTCATGGTAAAGAATCAAGACAGCAAACGTCCGCAAGCTATGGCTGGGACTGTCCCCTGACCTTCATCTGCCCAGGTTTGGATTGTGGCCTATATTAAGAGCAGTTGCTAGGTTTTTCATCAATGGCCTTGTCCTTCGGTGCCAGCCACATTGCCAAACTGCCAACCAGTCTGCGAATTAGGTTCCAACAATTCGCACCGATTCGAAGCAACCAATGCAACAATATTTTCCTCATGTGGTACGCGAGTCTGCCTGTCATCCCAATTTACCGCACCTACCAGGTGCAGGAAAACGGAGAAAACTTTGGTTAAAAGCGCAAACAACATGATTCGCAAGCAATGCCAACATGTTCTGCGAATTTTACATGACAAACACTCACAGAAACAGACTCACAGATACGAATTCTTGCATTTTCATGACACCAAAGCAGAAGGAATCAAGGCCAGCTATTATTATTTGTTCAAGGAAAAAACAACATACAGCCTGAAATCAATGAAGCCAGCCAAGAAAAACCAAAAAGCAAACCAAGTACCGCGTTTTGGGCCCGCCTTTGGTAGACTGCCAAGGCGGCGCGCAGCGCCCCGTCCGCCAGTAGCTGCTCAAGCGTGGGCGCGACTGCGTCAACACCTTCACGCCTAAGCACGAAGCACGCGCGCGGAATCCAGGTGCCAGCAAGGACCATCGCCGGCGAGGCGGTTTCAAACCCTTAAGGAGCGGCGCAAACGGCAAGGCCAACGAAAAGGATCCCTTCGGGCCTTTGGGCCCTTTGGGCCCCTCACTCCTTCTCTCTGCATTGGTTGCGGGGTTCACCCGCCCGCAAAAACGGCAGCAACCGCTGCGCAATCCGAAAGGCCCAAGCAGGCCCCCCCCTGCCGCCAGGCCACGCAATCAGCTCAAGCACGGAGTCCTCATCTGACGGCAGCTGTTGCTCCAAGCTCAGGTTGCCTAAGCCCTCTCCTCAGCTGTCAGAAAGCACGCCGGAGTCAAGGGAAAAAGGGAAGCCTGAGCATGGGCTGCCGGATGACTGGTCGCTAGTTGCCTGCGAAGGGCAAGCATTGGTTGAGCCATGTGAGGCATTGCCCACTGCACTCCAACCAAAAAGATTTTTGAATTCTGGCAGAGGCAGGCAACCTCTGGCAACATGAATCGCTGATCCTACCGTGACTCAGCTGCCAACGCAACGACTCTGCACACTGCAACCGTCAACGTCCGCTCGCGGCTCACATTTGCCCGTGGGTCAAAAATAGGTACCCAAAATGAAACCCTGGTAAATGGGAAACATGGACCAAAACCTGCGGTTTGCCCCTCCGATCGTTTCATGTTGAGCCACACCCATGTGCCCCCAAGCCGCGCAGAAGCTCCGCGCGCAACGCCAGCCGCCGCCCTGCGGCGCGGCCGCGGCGGCCCACTGTGCGCGATGCCGCCGCGCGCGCGCCGAGGCCCGCGCCGAGGCCCGCGCCGACGAAGGACCGCCGGCCAAGGGCCGCGGGCGCCGCGCAGAAGGCGAGGGCCAAGGACGAGGACCACCCCGACGGCCTGAGAACTGTTGTTTGGGGGGGCGGTGGTCTGAAAAGTAATACTAGGTCCTCCAGATTTGAGAGGTTAGAATAAGGGTGCCCGATTATTTCTCTGTAGTCTTTTTTACTAGGGGAACCCTCCCCCAAAAAAAGGGGGTACAAGGTTTTTTTGAGGTTGGGAAAAGCAAGGCTCCGGCGGCTTCGCTCGAGAAACACGCACAATTCGCATGGCCCAAATGCGAAAGAAGCGCCAGGCGTTTCCCTTAGATCCCTTGCCTGGGCTTTCATTGCCAAAGGGCCTCACTTCCCGGCTGGATGGCCCCCAAACAAGTCCCCAAACTTCTTGGTTGCCACCAAAATGGCAACCGAACCCAAAAAAAGTATCAAGTCCGGAACGTGAGGGACACATCTACTCCGGGCCCAGCCACGCACGGCGATTCGGCATTCGGCGCATTGGACCGTCGGGCCTCAGGCTTCGCCTCGCGCCCGTCTTGGCCGGGCTCGCCAAAACGGTCGCGAAGATCCGGCCATCGCAGCCTGAAGTCGGCATCGGCATCTCGATGTTGGCATACGGTCATTTCGACACTTGTTTCACTTGAGACATCATCGTTTAACCTGGTAACCTGGTACAATGGTGAACCCGAGGATGCCGAGAAATGAAATGGTGGCCGCAACCATGTATGCTTGGCATTGTCCCTTATTGCCCTCCAATTACCCAGGCTTTTTATTGTGACTCACTTGACTTTAGCGAAGTTGGATTGGAGTGGTGTAGGTTTTCGGTAGCTTCCCATTAACAAGAACCGGGGGTTGAACACCAAAACCAAACTTCACGGGGTGAACCTGAGCCTGCTGACTTGGACAACAACCGGCGCGCGGCTCTGCGCTGTAGCGGGGACGCGGGGACGACGCTGACCTCTCCGTGCCGTTGGGAGTCCAGACAAAGGCCGTGGCACGTAAAAGGCAGACCTCCCATTGCCCTAGGGTTCGGTTACCACCATTAAAACAATGAATTGAACTCATGCAACCACCATTTTTGCCAAAGGCATTGACCTTTTTTCCAGCAAGTCGCAGGTTCGCAGATTGGCGCCCGGCCTTGAAAGGCGAGTTTCATTTACTTGAAGGCGAGTTGAAGGCGAGTCTGGGGCAAGTCTTCGGGCGCAAAGGCGGTGATCTCTCGTAGCATTTCGGAGTATTCTCTCCGAGCAATCCTCTTTGAGGGGAGCAAACCCTCCGTGAAATCTCCTTGAGCAGTGTCTCATTGGCATCTTTCTCTGGAATCTCTCCATGACCTCTCTCCACGCAATCTCGCTGCATACGATCTTGCGGCATTCTGTGAGCAATCTTTCTGCGAGATTTGTGGTTGCAATCTCTCTGCACCATGGACCTCTCTGCACCACGACTCTTTTTGTATGACATTCCTCAGTGCTTCCTCTCTATCCCCGACCTGCACCAAAGGAAGCGCCCTTTTGCGGCAAAGGGAACGAAAACGGAACACCAAAGGCACCTCTGCACTCCAAAGAATCACTGCGCCTACAAATACAAAGTCCTTCTTACGGAAAAGCAGCCTTCCTCCAAAACAACTCTCAGCATGGCCATGGTCAAAACTCCTGCGGGGCATGGTCATCACCCATATTAAGAAATGTTACCGGTGTGTGTGTGTGTGTGTTCTGTCCCTTGAATCGATTCGTGAGTTCGCCCTACCGGCCCCAAGTCAGCAGATCTTTCGACCGCGGCACAAAAACAAACTGCCTGGATCGCCAGTTGCTGTTTTTTTTCCATGCACTTTACCCCGGAAACCAGCAACAGTCACTGAACAAAACTGCAACTTGGCTATCTCGGTGTTGGTTTCCCTTGAAAGCAACCCCCAAAACCTGTCAAATCAACCGCATCTGTATGCTTGCCAAGCGTCGCCCGCTAAAGGCGGCCATGGGCCAAGGATTCGAATCCTTGAGCCTGCGGCGGGCCATGAGGCCTGAAGCTCACCAACAAAAATCAGCGCCCCAAGTGGGCCCAAAGCACGTTGACTGCTATGCCTCAGAAAGGCTTACCATCACCACAAAGGGGAGGGGGGTAGATTTGGGGTCCCCGAAATTTCATTTATCTTGTCTTCCCCCAAAAAAAGAATCCCAGGGGTCAGCCCCCTCCCCCAATCGCATATTTGCTGGGGTGGGGGGATTGTTTAGCCGTACCATGGAACCATAGAACCCCAGTAGAGGATGTTCTCAGATCCCCAACCCACCCCAGCCAATTCCATGGAACCCTGATGAACGCTGACAGATTCATCGACCCCAGTTAATCAATCGGGGACTGTTCCTGGGTTAGTGAAAATTCAGACCACTTTTGGAGGGGTTGTCCGATCTTATTTATCCTTGGGGTCAACATTCAGGCAGGCCAATCCGCCCAACCCACAGAAACGAGCACCTTCCAACCCTGAAGCAAGGAGCAAAAAGGAACATGGATCCCCCGCGGCTTTTCGATACTGAAAAAAAAACATCTCTGCCACAGGATTCACTTCCGAGACCGAGATGTGGGTACGTTGTTGGTGGGTTCTATCATTCTAAGAGAAACATAAATGAACACCACCATCTTGGAGGTCCACAACTCAAGTTAGGAACCCCGCTCCGTGACGGTTCCAAATCGAAGGATGAGGGGCGTCTTTCAAGGGAATCTAAACTGACAGTTGAAATGGACGAAACCGCAGAAATACTGGCAAAAGCCAGCTACCAACTGGTGGCACTGGATTTTGAGATAAACCTGAAGGGGGTTGTCTGGTCTCCCTTTTAAAGCCAACCAAAAGGGAGTTCCCCCAAAAAAAAACAGACACCCCCAAATGGAATAACAATATGGTTCTTTGTTTGTTCGGGGCCGACTGCGAACAGCAACTTTGCATCACCAGGTCCTAAGCCACGAGCCCTTTAGCGTGCGAGTCTTTTGCGGGTACCTCTGTCAGGTTGGTGTCAAGGGAAACCAAAAAATAAACACACACAATTTTGGGTTCTGGCCCGCACACTTTGACGCACACCCACTGGCCATAACATACTGAACCTCGCAGCGAACCCATCAAAAACTCCAAACCGGTTTCTGATGCTCTAACAAGCTCTAATGTCCAGTCCTTTCTGAAGGATCGATGATTTATATTGCGACAGACAAGGCAAAACCTCCTGAATGCGTGCGTCAACATGGTTACACGGCTCATCGCTTGCCAACTCTGCGCAGAAGGGCCAAAACGTTTCTCCCACTCGCGCGACGCGTCTGTGTGAAACAGGCTGCCACTAAAACGTAGAACCATCGCTTCACAGCTTTGGCCCATCAGATCCGCAACGTCTCCTTTGGAGACCAAAGCGTCTGAAGAATTGGAGGGGCTGTAACAGCCACACCCATGCAATGAGCAAATTCTTCCTCAAACCAACTTGTGATAAATATGCCTGAGTGGCCATGGCACGGCAAACCGCGGCTTCATTGCAGGTTCCACCCAGCGCTGCGTTTGCAGTCTGGCTTGTGCGCTTTCGTGGGTCAATTCGTCCTAACTTCATTTTCGATGCACCTGGCGGACAGAAGGATTCGGCGGCTCGCAGTCAGCCAAAAGCTTCCAAACGGAAACCATTGTCACAGGCCAAAGCCAGAGTTCAAAATCAAAGAAAACGCGTCTTGGTATACTCTTTGGGCGGGCAAAGTAATACTCCACAAAGCTGACAACAGTGTCGTCGCTGCTGCTGTTGCTGCTGCTGTTGCTGCTGGTCTTCCTCTTGCTGTTGCCGTTGCTTGTAGTTGTAGTTGTAGTTGTAGTTGTAGTTGTAGTTGTAGTTGTAGTTGTAGTTGTAGTTGTAGTTGTAGTTGTAGTTTGTAGTTTGTAGTTTGTAGTTTGTAGTTGTAGTTGTAGTTGTAGTTGTAGTTGTAGTTGTAGTTGTAGTTGTAGTTGTAGTTGTAGTTGTAGTTGTTGTTGTAGTTGTAGTTGTAGTTGTAGTTGTAGTTGTTGTTGTTGTTGTTGTTGTTGTTGTTGTTGTTGTTGTTGTTGTTGTTGTTGTTGTTGTTGTTGTTGTTGTTGTTGTTGTTGTTGTGTTGTGTGGTTGTTGTTGTTGTTGTTGTTGTTGTTGTTGTTGTTGTTGTTGTTGTTGTTGTTGTTGTTGTTGTTGTTGTTGTTGTTGTTGTTGTTGTTGTTGTTGTTGTTGTTGTTGTTGTTGTTGTTGTTGTTGTTGTTGTTGTTGTTGTTTGTTTTGTTGTTGTTGTTGTTGTTGTTGTTGTTGTTGTTGTTGTTGTTGTTTTTGTTTGTTGTTGTTGTTGTTGTTGTTGTTGTTGTTGTTGTTGTTGTTGTTGTTGTTGTTGTTGTTGTTGTTGTTGTTGTTGTTGTTGTTGTTGTTGTTGTTGTTTGTTTTGTTGTTGTTGTTGTTGTTTGTTGTTGTTGT